ATAATAGCAAGAAGAAAGAAACGAAGAAGAAGAAGAAGGAAATGGAGAAGAAGGAGAGGAACAAGAAGGAGAAGAGAAGAAAATAAAGAACTAACTATAAAGTACATAGCAACCATTTCTTAAATATAGGCGTATCAATAATAAAAAAAAACTTACACCAACATACCCCTTTTTCCCAATCACCAAATCATTATAACATCATTGTATTCTTTAAATATTATCGTCACTCTTGCCATTCGTATAATATTTTAAAAATGAGAAATTACCATCCAAAAATATATATAAAAAATATATCTCATGTCATTCAGATTATATAAAAAATAAACAAAAATAAAAACCATCCAAATAAAAAACCTACCGAACCCACCAAAACACAAATAAAATAAATAAATTAATTGACTGATTAAAATAACTGCATCACACGTCACAGATTCGCGTCTCAAGGTGACAGTGAGCTATTGTGGCAGAAACACTTTTACATAAGCAAAAAGTGTCTTCACAGCCACGGCCTTTGTGTGTGTGTGTGTGTGTGTGTGTGTGTGTGTGTGTGTGTGTGTGTGTGTGTGTGTGTGTGTGTGTGTGTGTGTGTGTGTGTGTGTGTGTGTGTGTGTGTGTGAGAGAGAGTGAGGTGTGTGAGTGAGAGTGAGGTGTGAGCGCGAGTGTGAGTGTGAGTGTATGTGTGCGCGCGCATGCGTTTCTAAACACGCACATACATTTCCACTCGCACACAAAACCTGCACAAATGTACACGAACACACGCGCAGGTAGACAAATAGACAAATAGACAGACAGATAACGAGAAGCATAAACATCCCATCAACATAAAGACACGCAATTGAAGACGAACGCCACGCTTGCCTCTGCGCTTCTGTCAGCCATTGCGTCGACGATGACGTGGGTTTCCGGCACGCTGATTGGCTGCCGCGCCGCTCCCGCCGACCAATCACGTGCACGAGACGTTTCCCTCCCGCTTTTTTCGTATTTGATTTTCACTCTTGGCGCTTCTTATGTTTATGTTTTGAACTAATATCTAATTTAATATAGGTTTAGAGGAGGTTTAGCGTGGCTGCGAGGGTCAAGGGTTCATGCGAAGGTGAGGGAAGAGGAGGGAGGAGAGGAATAAAGGAGAAAGAGAAGAGAGGGAAGGGAAAAAGAGGGAAGAAAATAGGGAAATGGGCAACATGGGGGGGAAATATGCCGGGACAAGCAGATGTGCAATTTTCTTACCCCCCCCTTCCTTTCCCTCCCCTTCCCTTCTTATCCTTTCCCTTCCCTTCCCTTCCCTCCCCTTCCCTTCCCTCCCCTTCCCTTCCCTCCCCCCTCCCCTTCCCTCCCTTTCCTTACCCTTCCCTTCCCTCCACTTTCCTTCCCTTCCCTTCCTGCCATCTTGAATTATTCTTCTCCTTCCTCTTCTCCTTCAACCCCTTCCGTTCTTTTCCTTTCTTTTTCCCCTTCCCCCTCCCCCCCCTCCCTTTCCCCCTTCCCCCTCCCTCCCCCTCCCTTTCCCCTTCCCTCCCCCACACTCATGAGAAAGAGCAGCGCGGCCGAGGCGGGAGGGAACCGCAAGAGATGCTAATTAGACCCGAACTTTCCGTTGCGTTGTGACCATTTCGAGACAATTTTTCGTATCCTGTTGCCCTTCCATGCGTGTCTGTCTGTCTGTCTGTCTGTCTCTCTCTCTCTCTCTCTCTCTCCTCTCTCTCTCTCTCTCTCTCTCTCTCTCTCTCTCTCTCTCTCTCCCTCTCCCTCCCTCCCTCCCTCCCTCCCTCCCCCCCTCTCTCTCTCTTTCTCTCTCTCTTTCTCTCTCTCTTTCTCTCTCTCTTTCTCTCTCTCTCTCTCTCTCTCTCTCTCTCTCTCTCTCTCTCTCTCTCTCTCTCTCTCTCTCTCTCTCTCTCTCTCTCCCTCTCAATTTGTTTACATATACGTGTGTATGCATATGCGTGCAACATAAAAAAGAACCTAAACATGCAACTTCACCTTCATAAACAAAAAACATACCCCCCCACCCCCCACACGTAAAACAAGGGTCGTAGGACACAGCATTGCATAACAATATTGCATCAATTTAGTCCTTAGTAAGCTCCACTCTCTAACAAACTACCTTAGCACAGCAGTTTTCACCTTTTAACAACACTTAGAGAGGTGAAAAAAATGAAGAAAAAAAAGTTAAATATTTCAAAATCATGCCTAACCTGGTAAAGAGAACAGAGGGAGAAGGAGAAGGAGAACAGAGGGAGAGGGAGAAGGAGAAGGAGAAGGAGAACAGAGGGAGAAGGAGGAGAAGGAGGAGAAGGGGAGAGAGAGAGAGAGAGAGAGAGAGAGAGAGAGAGAGAGAGAGAGAGAGAGAGAGAGAGAGAGAGAGAGAGAGAGAGAGAGAGAGAGAGAGAGAGAGAGAGAGGGAGAGAGGGAGAGAGGGAGAGAGGGAGAGAGGGAGAGAGGGAGAGAGGGAGAGAGAGAGAGAGGGAGAGAGGGAGAGAGAGAGAGAGGGAGACAAAGGGAGAGGAGGATAGAGAGAGGGAGGGAGGGAGGGAGAGAAAGAGAGAAAGAAAGAAAAAGAGCCAAACAGCCAAACAGAAACAGACAAAAAAGAAAGTGAGAAGAAAATGAAAAAGCCAATGAAACAGACACACACACATACACACAGATACACAGACAAACAAAACAAAGAAACAGAAGAAACACTCGGATAACAATCCTCATCGCATCCAATCTTCCCGTATTCTCTCCGAAGGTGCGTCTCTTCAGATGACTGTTGACATGTACTGCGTTCATGACAAGACGTGACACAAGGCAATCAGCTGTTCAAGGGGATGATTGAGGGAGATATGTATATATGGGAAGGGGTGGGGGGGGAGAGGGGAAGGGAAGGGGGTGGGGAGAGAGAGGGGAAGAGGGAGAGAAGGGAAGGGGAGAAAGGAGGAGAGGAAGGAGGAGGAAGAGGAAGTTGGAAGGGGTAAGAGAGGGAGAAGGTAAAGGGGGAGTGAGGAAGGGAGGAAGAAGGGGGAGTGGGAAAGGGAGGAAGAAGGGGGAGTGGGGAAGGGAGGAAGAAGGGGGAGTGGGAAAGGGAAAGGGAAGGGGAAAGGGATGGGGAAAGAGAAGGGGAAAGGAAGGGGAAAGAGAAGGGGGAAAGGGGAAGGGAAGGGAAGAAGGGAGAGGGAAACTGGAAAGAGAGAGGAGATGAAGGGAAAATGGAAATGGGGAATAAGGGAAAAGGAGGGAGAGGAAATAATGGGTAAAGGGAGAAAGGGAATATGGGAAGGGGAAAAGGAGTGAAGGAAAGGGCGAATAAGAGGAGAGAATAGGAAAGAGACAAAGAGAGGAGATGGGAAAGTGGTTCAGACTCACACATTACAAGCACATAACATCAAACAACAGTCTATACCCCATGATAACTACTCCCAAGAGTATTGACGATGAATATCAAGATGACTGGCGAAAGGAGAGACAAAATGATGACTAATATATCTTACGACCAACTTGATCTTACGATGACGAGCCTGTAAATTATTTTAACTACTTTTTTCTACGATGTGATCAACATAGCAATGGCACTGAACATGTCACTGAATGCGTTAAACAAGAAGAGAGTCTGATGACAACCTTGACTGGCGGTAATGATGATGACTATGACATGACGATGATGATGATGATGATGATGATGATGATGATGATGATGATGATGATGATGATGATGATGATGATGATGATGATGATGATGATGATGATGATGATGATGATGATGAACATGAAGACGAACATGAAGATGAGCATAAAGATGATGATGCTTTGGTGATGGTGATGATGAAGATGAACATAAAAATGAGCATGATGATGATGATGATGATGATGATGATAATCACGATGACGATAACACTGACAATGACGAACGCAACGTCGTGGTGCCACCGCGCATTAATATCTTCTTTTGTCAAGGGCGTGCAGTTCACCTCTCGCGCGCCTGAAACTGCCTCTTCTATTTCGCCCAAAAAAACGAATATTATAACATGATTTGTCGTCAATTTTGTCCAGAACCTCATCCCGATAATTCTGGAACATGTTTTGATGCATTTACTTGCATTTAAACGCATCCCTGTTACATTTTACGTCAAACAGATAGGAACTGCGTTATATATACACCGTAAATATACATCACTACTGTAGGTCTATCACAGCTCACGTCACAGTCACAGTGCAATAATAAACTAATAAAAATTAAAATCACAATATACTAATCTAAACGACAGACAAACATGACTCGTCCTTGAAATATAACGAAGTCTAACCCGCGGAGTATAATGCAATACATTTTTTATTCCGATAACGGAAAAGATAAAACGAAATGTTAGATAAGGTCGCTCTTCGATAACCCCATGCAGTGATTAGAACAAAAACATGATTAATGAAACTTATTCTCAAAATAACCATGTTTCAGAGGAGAGAGGGAGAGAGAGGGAGAGAGAGGGAGAGAGAGGGAGAGAGAGGGAGAGAGAGAGAGAGAGAGAGAGAGAGAGAGAGAGAGAGAGAGAGAGAGAGAGAGAGAGAGAGAGAGAGAGAGAGAGAATGATTACAAAAGATTAATGAAAATGGGAGAACATGAGCCATCAAAAAGAGAGAAAAATCCCACCAAAATAAAGCGCTACAAAATATATACACATATATATGTATATACATAATAAAGAAAATACTGAAAGAAAACAACAAAAACAATACTCATCAACAAACACACAGAAAAAAACTAACGAACGACCGAGAGACGCAAAAGACTACAAGCTAACGCAGAAAAAAACGAGAAAATGAAAGAAAATAAGGAAAACCCGTCGCCGCCGCGCCGCCTCGCCAGTGCCACCCCAAACCCGCGGCAAACGTGGCCCCCCCCCTGGCACTCTCGCCCCCTTCCCCCTCTTTCTCCCCTTCCCGCCGCCTCCCACCTTGCCCACAGCCGCCCTGCCCACAGTGGGCGCCGCCTGCCCTGCCCTGCCCTGAACGAGAAGGAGCCTTAC